GTTCAATTAGTATCTCTGATCTATTGATAGTTTTGATTCAAAGATCATCTGATGCATGATGATGCCCATAGATGCTTCGAATCAAAATCAGTCATCTTCATCAATTGGTAATTTCACCATTGATGATGTATTGAATCATAACCAGAGAAAAATTGTAGACTTCATACGGAGTTTGAATCTTGCACAGTACCAGCACCTAATGAACATCTAAAATAGTCATTTGGCATTTGCAAAAATTGATGCAGGAGCTAATTTTCATTCTAATTAGGTGTTGGGTACATGTTTCTCCATTTCTCTCAATCCATTGCTCAATTCTCCTACACTTTGGGTGGTGGATTCAGGAGCTATCAGACACGTTTGCTCCAATTATTCAGCCTTTAATTCGATGAAATCAGCACAGAATTATTTTGTTACATTGCCAAATCATATGAGAATTCCTGTAAAGTTCATTGGTACAGTTAAAGTTGGTCCTAATCTGGTTCTTCAAGATGTGCTATATGTTCCAGAATTTAAATTCAATTTGATGTCAGTAAGCTCTCTAACCAGGAACACACATATAGAAGTCAAATTTCTACCTGATTTATGCACTATCCAGGATCTGCACAGTTTGAAAACAATCGGAAAGGGTAAAAGAATTGCTGATTTGTGCATAATGAGTGCTGAACCATCTGATAGAATGCAAAGTAAATGCAGTAAATCATTAGGCAATGCCTGTATTTCTGTTTCTTCTACTGTGAATCATGTAAGTTCCCATATTTGGCATCACAGACTTGGGCATTTACCATTTTAGTAGTTAGATTTGTTAAGAGAACAGTTACGTTTGACCAGTAGTAGGCACAAGAACTATGATTCATTGCCTTGTGATATATGTCCTTTAGCCAAATAGAGGAGGCTCTCTTTTACATCCAACAATCACATGTCGCCTAATGCATTTGACTTGGTTCATTGTGACATTTGGGGACATTTTCATGTTCCAACACATTCTGGATATAGATACTTCGAGCCTGTTTGGGCCCCGATTTTTTCACCAAAAAAATTGAATTTTTGACCGTTATTTCACTATTCCAACCGTCATATTTGACTTCTTCCGTCACAGGTGGACCTCACTTTTCTCCTAACGGTCAAAAAATCAATTCTCAAAATCACTCCCAAACAGGCTCTTCCTGACATTGGTGGATGATTGCACATGGTTTATTGGTGGATGATTGAACATGGTTTATATGGGTTTATCTCATGAGACAAAAGTCAAATGTCCACTCCATCATTCCTAGATTCTTTAAGAAGATTGAAACACAATTTCATAAAGTGATCAAGAATCTCAGATCAGATAATGCACCTGAACTGCAGTTTGTTGAGTTTTTCAATTCGAAAGGAGTAATCCACAAATTTTCTTGTGCGGAATGGCTTGAGCAAAATTCAGAGGTTGAACGAAAGCATCAACATCTTCTTAATATGGCTCGAGCATTGTTTTTCCAGTCACGAATTCCAATCCAATTCTGGGGAGATTGTGTACTTACAGCCACAATTTTTATCAACAGAACTCCTCCACCAATTTTGAAAAATAACACTCCTTATTCCCTTTTGTATGGTACTCCAATAGATTACAACTTCCTTAAAGTGTTTGGGTGTCTTTGTTTTGCCTCAACACTACCATCTCATAGAAATAAATTCTATTTCCGAGCCACAACATGTGTTTTCATGGGATATCCTTCAGGCATAAAATGCTATAAATTGTATAACATCTCATCAAAATCATTTTGTCTCCGGAGATGTTGTGTTCCATGAAAACCACTTTCCTTTCCATTCCATAACTCACACAACTGATCTCATTGATCCATTTCCTGACATTGTTTTACCTCACATTACCTCTAATTCAATGTCCTATCACTCAAATCCAACCACAACTTCCAACCTCCCTTTGGATGACAATGATAATGGCCTGCCCATCATTCCTTCTACTTCACCCTCAACTCCAAATTCCATTGAGGAACAAGTACCAGACTCTTCTCAGCCTTCACCCTTTCATCCTAGAAGATCAACTAGAGTCAGTAAAATCCCTTCCTATCTTCGAGAATTCCACTGTAATCTCATGAAAAATACACCTCCATCAAAACTTTACTTAAAATACCCCTTATCCAAGTTCATTTCCTATGCTGCTTTTTCCTCTTCACATAGAAATTACCTCCTTAATGTTTCCTCCAATTTTGAGCCTCAATTTTACCACCAAGCTGTGCAATTTCAGCATTGGAAAGAGGCTACGTCATCTGAATTAGCTGCAATGGAACGAAACAATACTTGGTCAGTGACTACTCTACCTTAGGGCAAACACTCCATTGGTTGCAAGTGGGTATATAAAATCAAGTATAAGCCTGATGGAAGTATAGATAGATACAAGGCTTGTTTGGTGGTCAAGGGCTATACCCAGCAAGAAGGCTTGGATTTTATTGAAACATTCTCTCCTGTTGCCAAACTTGTGACTGTCAAAATGCTTCTTGCTATTGCTGCTATCCATAAATGGAATCTTGTCCATGTCAACAACGCATTCCTCAATGGAGATCTTTTTGAAGAAATATATATGGATTTGCCTTTGGGTTATTCTAACACACATAAGGATCTTGCAAAGGGAGGACAACTAGTTTGCAAACAAGTTCATTTATAGCCTTAGACAGGCATCTTGACAATGGTCTTCTAAGTTTTCCCAGTTCTTATTCTTCATGGTTTTCAGCAATCAAAGTCAGATTACTATTTGTTTACTAAAGGTTCTGGGAACACATTTGTCGCCTTGTTGGTATACGTTGATGATGTCATCATCACAGGTCCAAACATCCGTATAATTGACTCTTTGAAGACATTTTTACACAGCCATTTTAAACTCAAGGACCTTGGAGTGTTGAAATACTTCCTTGGTCTTGAAATAGCCAGGTCTCATAATGGGAATTTCCTCTGTCAACGAAATTACACACTGCAGCTTCTGGAAGATGCTGGTTTCCTAGGCTGTAAACCAGCCAACTTACCAATGAATCCAAAGGCTCACCTTTGTTTATTTGAAGGTGAATTAATTGATGATGCATCCCAGTACAGAAGACTTGTTGGACGCCTACTTTACTTGACTATTTCTTGACCAGACATAACCTCTGCAGTTCATAAGCTCAGTCAATTTGTTTCTCAGCCTCGCCAGCCACACCTTGATGCTGTCCATCATCTCTCAAGGTATCTTAAGGCTGCTCCAGGTCAAGGATTACCATTCTCTGCTTCTTCTTCCTTGCAACTTCATGCTGACTGTGGAGCTTGCTTAGATTCAAGAAAATTAGTTACAGGCTTTTGTGTGTTCCTTGGGGACTCCTTGATCTCTTGGAAGGCAAAGAAGCAGCTAACACTGTCTAGATCATCTGCGGAAGTAGAGTGCCAAGCGTTGGCTTCCACAGCGAGTGAAATTACTTGGATCCATCAATTGCTTCGCGATTTCCAGATTTCTTCACCAGCTCCGGCACTAATTTTTTGTGATAACCAAGCTGCAATTCACATAGCTAACAATCCTATCTTTCATGAAAGGAAACACATCGAGATTGATTGCCATTTCATCCGTGATAAAGTTATTGAAGGCTCCATTTAACTTTTGCTTGTTCGCACCCAAAATCAGTTAGCAGATGTTTTTACCAAAGCTTTACCTCTACTATCCAAGATGGCTGTTATTGATCTGCATCGTCCACCTTGAGGGGGAAGTATTGAAATATCAGTTAATTAGTTTATAACTACTGTTAATGAGCTGGCATATTCTGTTAGTTATAGTCTAAGCTCTATTTATACATATGCTGTACGACATTTTGCAATGAATGAAGAATTCCCTCCATTTTTGCATTTTGCTCAATAAGTGGCATTAACGGCTCCGTAATTTCACAAATTAACTCTGCCCGTTGAATCTTATCCTTTTTCCTTTGTATTGTTTCTGCTTGTTTTTCTCTTTTTTGTTTGTCTTCTCTACCTTCTTTGTGCTATTAATGGATCCTACCGCTGCCATTTTCTTCCAATATCAATTCATTTTTTTTTATCTATATCTTTGGCTTTTTAATATCATTTTCTATGGCCTACGCATTAGTTATAGCGACGTATGTATGTACATCGGATGCCTTCTATTGTTTCTTAGTGCAAAAAGTGGCGCAAAGGAAATTTTTCATTCATGGCAATGAACCTGAGTAACGAATAACAATTCATGTACTAAAAACATGATTGTTGATATAACCAGCGATGCATCTTAGAAGGTCAGCAACAAACACATGTCATTCTTATGAATAAGAGCTTTTTTATGACGATGTTAGTAAATGGTCACTAGTCGATAGAGTTCATGTTCTTATTGGTCTATTTAAATTATTAATAAAAAGTCGTGTTAATGAAGTCTTGGTAATAGTCAAAAGATGATAGCCTAGACTGCCTTGTGGAAAAAAGAAACGTTTGAAGATAGATACAAACTTGTTCGGGCTCCATTTCGTGTTTAAAAAAATAAAAATAGTAATAATGATTTTTCGAAGAAGGTGTAGTAAAAAGTGAAGAAAAGTTTTGATTTTACGTGCAAATTATTTTATTAAGAGAATGTTTACGTGATTGAAAATAAGTTTAAAAAAAAAAAAAAGAGTTTTTAGGAGAAGTGCTACTTCTAATTAGAAGACCTTCTAATGAAACTATTCCAATGTGATTTATTCTAAAAGTACTTCCGAAATATGAAACATTTTTATATATTAAATTTCAAACAAAAATTATTGTACTCTTAAAATTCTTTTGCACAAAGCAAAAATCATGCCAAATGGATCCTTACAGTACGTGTCTCCAAAATCTTCAATTCGTGTTCTCACAAGATTAGTTTTTCATGTGTGCTCTTTGTCAATATGAGTTTATCGGTCAACCAGATATTATGCTAATAATCAAACATAATTTTTAATGGTATCAAAAAAACTGAAAATAATTAGGAAAATGGTATAAAATGAGAGAAAACAAGTGGAGAAGAAAAAGGGAACTTTTGTTTGCTCTCTTTCTGTCTGCATTAAATTATTTGCCATCAACAATTTGAGAAGGTGGATGCTTCGCCATGTTTAAAAGTCGATTTTAAACAAATCGCAGTCTCTATAAATTCGCTTTCGAGTTCTTTCAGTTTCAGTCTATCCCTACCATTTGAGATATGGAGCTGGGGTTAAGCTTAGGAGATTCATCAAAAGATTCAAAAGAATTTAAATTCTCGACAAAGAATAGTAATTCAGAGCATCACGGTACTGCCATGACCAACAAGCAGGATGGCCTGGTATTTTGCATGGCCTTGGGTCTAAACTCAACTTTTGGAAATCAAGAATCCCTTGAAAATTATAATCAAGATGATGATCAGACGTTACAGGGAAGTGATGATCACCAAGAAAAGTCAATGGGAACTCCTGTTCAGCTTGATCTTCTCCCTCTTGCTCCTGTTCCTCGTCACACTGGATCTCCTCTTCGAGGTAATTCATTCATACTCTTCGTTTTGGTGCAAACTTAAATGCATAGGATATTTTGTTTACCTTGATAGATTGTTTTGAATTTGTTCTTTCTTCTTTTTCTTTTTTTTTTTTTTTTTGTTGCAGTTTCAGGGAGATCAGAGAATAGTTCTTTGAGGCAACGGGGCTTGCTGCAGTCGGTGGTGGCTTCTGGGTCAGCGGAGGAGGAGGTGTTGTCGGCAAATGACGTCATGGAGGCCGAAAGAACATCTTCTAGAGCCAGTGATGAAGATGAAAATAGTCACAAGAGTGGAAAGAAACTGAGACTATCAAAAGAACAGTCTGCTTATCTTGAAGAAAACTTTAAAGAACACAGCACTCTCAATCCTGTGAGTGTAAGTTTATCGGAGAGGCAAAAATAATAGAATTTTTAAATATATTTTATATTATGTCCGATTGTTTTTATCTGTTTTTTCTTAGTTGAAGGAAAAATCTATGATCTAATTTTTCATTTTCTTCCCTTTCGGTTCTCTCTGGAAGAAGCAGAAACAAAAGCTTGCACTTGCAAAACAGCTTAATCTTAGGCCTCGACAAGTCGAAGTCTGGTTTCAGAATAGAAGAGCAAGGTATGTATTTTTATTCGAATAAGTATTTATTTGTATAAATAATTTATTTTCGGGATCCATCTTATTATCTTAAAATGTTAACTTTGTTAGAGAGAGTTTCATTTTTGAATGACCCTAATACATATTTTTGTGTGTGTGTTTAGGACCAAGTTGAAGCAAACAGAGGTAGATTGTGAATATTTGAAGAGAATTTGTGACAGTTTGACAGAAGAAAACAGGAGACTACACAAGGAGTTACAAGAATTGAGAGCCCTTAATTCTTCAAATCCATTCTGCATGCAACTTCCAGCCACCACCCTCACCATGTGTCCCTCCTGCGAACGTGTCGCCGCCGCCGCCTCCACTCTCACCACCACCCCAGCCACCAATCCCCCCATTTCTAAAACCAGCACCATTGAATCCACACCTAAAGTTATCCCATTTCCTTTATTTAGACCAAGATTTTACCCGTTCTTCCGCTCTCCATCCCATTACCATCAGTCTGCATCCTCATAACTTGAAGAAGAAAATTTACAGTTTTTAGTAAGAAATATTAGGTTTTGTCAATAGTTGTCCAAGTTATATATACTCTGAAATAATTTGTTTTAATGTTTGTTCTTTTATGAGGAATTGTTTGATGTAATAGGGTTCTCCAGTTATCTCATTTTTTCTTCTTTTTCTTTTTCACCAGTCTATGCAAAAGTATTATTCCTATCAAATTTGTCAGTTTAAATTTCATAGTCATAGTAGAGAATTACAAGAAATTCATGGCTCTGATCCTTCTATTGTTATGCCTAAAACCTAATCTTGATTCTTTCTTTTCCTCTTCATTTCCTTGTTCTTTACATATAAACGTGTAACGTGCAAAACAATAAATTACAAGAGGAGCCCCCGGGGCACAGTTCAATTGGTGGATCAATCAACATTGTCTTGCTTTCAGTGACAGGGTGGAGAGTTCGATTCTTGGTGGGAACCTGCGGCCAAATATTTGGTATGGAGCAATTACTGTGGAGGAGGGTCTCTTGTGCGCAGAAGTGTACAGGCAATGGGGGGAACTTGTGATCCAGTTGAGGCATAACCCGCGATTTACCCCCTCCAAGGTTCTAGGGGTAAGGGTCTTTGGGGTCCAAAATTTAGTCTGGTGTAAGTTGGGATACCTGGATATCAAAAAAAAATAATAATAATAATAAAATAAATTAGAAGGGGAATTTCGTTATTTTGCATTTCTTTTTCCAGAGTAATTAATGTGAAAATGGCTTGTCCCATGGTCCAAGGCATGCTTTAAATAAAGGGGTGTCAATTTGGTGAAATTCTTTTCAAAGATCTGATTCAAACCAAATTATATTGATGAAAAGGAGAGGCGTGGGGAAAGGGTTCATGGAGAAACTGACCAATTTGGGGAAAAGGTAACAACATTTTATTGATTAATGTTGTCTGGTCAATTGAGGTGGTCTTTTAGGAGCACCAATCATGACCACCACCCCAAGTACGGTCATCATTATTGAATTCTAACGTTGCTTGTCACTTGACATATCACGGCATCTAAAATATTACTAGTTTGTGTCGAAGTACGTCTGTATATAAAGTGAATCAAATAGTCACCTATATTAATTTATACTCATAACTTTTCTAATGTTGCTTGGCACTTTGACTTATCACGGTGCCTAAAATACTGCTGGTTCATGTCGGAGCATGTTCGTATAGATTCTGTAAAATATAAAGTGAATCAAGCAATCGGTATTTACTATATACTTCTAACTCTCTAATTTTGTTTGACCTGTGATTTCCAACGACACTTGTGATATTGCTAATTTGTGTCAAAACATGTTCATATGATGTGTTATGGTAATGATCGTTCAACTCACTGGACATTTCTATGGTCGAAATTTGAAAAAAATGCTAGGAGGACTATTGAATATAAAAGTTTTAATGCAATTATTGTAAATCAACCAATGAGTTGATGGCCTAAGCATCTTATAAAAAAGTATTCATAGACAAAAAATGTAAGTATATGGAGCCCCTTTGTTACAAGGAGACAACCATAATAAAAGTAATCATGTCAAGGAGATATCTTTTGAAAAATGACTTTAGTGTGCTTACTTTTATAGTATTCAAAGTTTATGATCAACCATTTAAATTGGTTGATTGTAAATCTATTGGGGATTGTTTTCAAACAAATTTAAATGTGTAAAGTTAGATTATGATGAGTTAGGTCGACTTTATACGATTTAATTTATCATCAATACAAATTTAGCACAAAACTCGACTCTGATGAGTTAGGTCAACTTGACTTTATACGACTTAATTTATTATCGGTACAAATATAGCATAAATCTCTTTCATTCTTACTCGTATTCTTGTATATTCCTCGCCTCCATACTAGATTTGAAACTAATTATGATGTTTTCATTTATAATATTAATTAGATCAGAAATTAGTACATAATTTAAAATTTTTTATAGTTATTTGTATAGAATATTTTCATTTGTTATTTAAAAATAGAAAACTTATATGCAAAAATGTAAATGTTATACAAATTATTGTGAATATTTTTGTCATAATTACTTAGAGAAAATTGTGCTTTTCACTTTAGGATAAGATTTAGGTTACATCGCCAAGATTATTGATTTGAAAATGAATACGCAATACAAGTGAAATCATCAAATTTGGATTTGCATGTTGCGGCAAATTTTGTCAAGGGTCACTAAATTTTTTTGGTAAAATCTCAATTTGATCTCTAAACTTTAATTTATGCATCATAAAATTTTAATTTAATTTCAAATTTTACCACTATGTCAATATTATAATTGATCTTCCACGCGATGTCCAAATGACAACCTTAAAAAAATGGTAAAATGAGGATTATAGCAATGTCAAAGGTTAAAATGTATTTTTTTCCCTCCTTTTTTAACCCTTATATGACGTGATGTAGTGGTTTGTTGGTATACCACGCAATATTATGTAAAAGATTTGTTGCGGTGTCAATCAAATAATTTTCATCTATTTGGGAAATATTATGTAAAAGATTTGTTGCGATGTCAAGCAAATGATTTTCATCCATTTGAGAGATGGAAAGTGACAAGCGGTGAAATTTGAAATAAGAAGTTCAATTACTCAAATTGAAACTAAGAGCCTGTTTAGGCTCGATTTTTTCACCCAAAAAATTGATTTTTTGATCGTTATTTTATTATTTCAGCCATCATATTTGATTTCTTCTCTCACAGGTGGACCCCACTTTTCTCCTAATGGTCAAAAAATCAATTCTCAAAATCACTCCCAAACAGGCTCTAAATTAAAGTCCAACGACCCAATTGTGACAAACTGAAATTTAATAACCCAGTTAAAATTTCGCTAAAGTTCATTGACCACGTTGCATGTTTACAATTGTCTCGACTTCTAAAACATGTTTTCAACATTTTATGATTTGAACAAGTTTCTTGTGAAAATTCTCTGGAAACTGCAGCTGTCATGTATTTAATAAAATATATGTTAAGATGAATGCGTAGTCTTATTTTTGTTAATAATAAGATAAAAAACTGAGATATATATTTCAATAAGTGGATTGGGACTATTAAAAAACTCGAAATATGTTTTGTATATATTTAAAAATTTTAAAGAGAAAGACCATCTTCAATGTAGCACCATCTTGCCATTTTTCCTCAAATTGCACCAAATATTAGGTGTAAATCTACTCCAATGTATTGTGCAACAGTATTCATTTACACTATTTTGCACCAAAATAGTTAATATCATTTTTGCCCTTCTTTTTCATTATGCATCAGATTCTTGTAAAGGGTATTTGTGTCATTTTATTATTATACAACAAATTTAAATTCTTAATTAATTATTATTATTTTACTACTACTACTACTATTAAGGTATGATTTGAAACGTATACATTATTTTTTAATAACATAATTTAATTTTTTCTTAGTTGTATTTATATTAATTGTACTACATTTTTTAAATTTTATTAATGAATTCAATATTTTCATTAAAGAAACGTAATTATTTATTTAATAATTTATGTAATTGTAAAATAAATAAATAAATTGTTAAGAATGAAAAAAAAAATCAAGAATATAATTAAACATTGTTAAGTTGGTGCAACTTTTGGTGCTTTGAATTGAAGGTGATTTTTAATTTTAGTGCAAGATTTATAGGTTGTTTGGGAGTGATTTTTTCTCCAAAAAAATTGATTTTTTGACCATTATTTCACCATTTCAGCCGTTATATTTAACTTTTTCTCTCACAGATAGACCCCATTTTTTTCCTAACAGTCGAAAAATCAATTTTTAAAATCAGTCTCAAACAGGCTCTCAGTATAAAATGGTACAAAACTTAACTAAAATTTTGGTGGAGATTTAAAGATGTCTTGTATTTTAGTGTAAAAAATATTCATTGAGCTGACTCAAATGCAAATACGATAAGTTACAGGGTTCAACCAGTTACAGGGTTGCTTTTTCTACACGCAAATTGCAATGACTTTGAATTTGGACAAAGTATATTTGCAAGTTGAAACGTTTGTTGACTATATGGGACACATTAATTTGGACCGAATTCATTCTTATCTGCTAAAATCCAGGAAAGATTGTATGGAATCCATAATTATGTGCAATTTGAAATAATGTTATTTATATATAGATGAGGTGTAAAAAAAAAAAAAATTTAAAAAATTTATTAACATTTTATTTTTATTTTTTGAAAAAATTCTAACTCAATCATATCTCACCACATCATAATCATTATTAAGCTCATTTTTAATCATACATTTCATGGAACCTATAACTTGCATTTAATTTTCAATCACACATTTTATTCATTATTATCAAAATCCAATAAAAATAAGATTTTTAGAAAAACCAACAAGGGCTTAGACGTTATTTATGATGTGACGACTTAGCTCATTAGGTACAATGCATGTACCACATCAAAAAGTGACAATTTCAGGGGACGTTTTTTCTCATTTTTGTAAAAAAGAAAATAAGAAATATAGTCATTATGAACCTCGTACTAGTGATAGAAATTCAAATTTGATGGCTTGATGTGATAAATAACGATTATATTTTTCATTTTAATGGGGAAAGAATGGAAAACAAACAGAGACTTAGTATGAAAACCGAAAGTTATTTACTTGTTCTAGCACAGAATCTAATGAGATTTGAATTGTTGACAACTTTCACTCAATGTCCATCTTGATATAATGATAATTATTGTAAGAAAATGAAAGCCGCACCTATAAATTACGCCTCGTGAAAGAAGCAATTCTTGAACTTTGATATTGCATTTAGTCAAAAAAATTAAACCGTTAGATTTTTCTTTTATGTTCAACCGAATTTAACCTGGTAGTGATCCATTGAAACTCTGGAAATTGTCATGCTACTTTAGAAACCACGGACACCCCAAGCTACAGATTGCCCTGTGCTAAATAACTAAAACACTACTACCATTAATCCAATGTTAGAAGGAACCATGGCATTATACAACAGAGCAACCCGCCCCCACAAAATCGAACCCATGTTTCCCAAAATGTACTTACACAATTTCTGTCTTGATTTCAAGATTGTCGATCTCATTCCATTGATTGCCTGTGCGAGAAATGGCCACCCTCATCTGTCACGAAGAACCAAAATGAGGTCAAGACATAATTAACCATTTCAAACTAAAGGCCCGTTCGGTAGTGATTATGAGAAGAACCTTATGGAACCTTGTTACATGTACACTATAGTATACATTTTAATTTACACTTTGTCATGTGTCATTACTCTATTGGACAGTTTTTAGTTTCATACAGTTTTTTCATCCAATTGACACTTGATAACAATACAAGTGTCAACCAAAGTATCAAAAATCAGTATACAAATAGCAGCGTTCTTATGAGAATTGATTTTTTAACTGTTAGAAAAAAGTGGATCCCACCTATGAGTGAAGAAGTCAAAAATGACTGCTAGAATAGTGAAATAACAGTCAAAAAAATCAATATTTTGGGGGTTGAAAATTGCTACCAAATGAGAGCTAAAGGCAGTGTTAGAAAAATGTGTGAGCCCGCCATCTGGTGAGTAGAATAGTTAAAAGCAACAAAGACAGTTTCAGAGCTGCTCTTCCATGGAAAGAATGTAAAACTGCATAACCAAAATATCATTTTTCCCATTCAGTTGTCCAACCAGAAATACTTGTCATGATCCACCAGAAGAGAGGTGTCTGAATTTCTTACAGAAAATAAAATTTGACTACCCATAACTTTTCGTGCTTTGCCATTCGGCTTACAAAGCTCTGCTATTTATCCCCAACATTATGTCTGACAAACTGCATTATTGGTAAGGGATAAGTTCCGAACAACTGAAACTCAATGTCTTCAATTGTTTAGTGATATGGTGAGAGCTAAATATGTCCTCATTGCTATGTATATGTATAGCAAAAGAAGAACTTCCATCTTAAAAAATTATAATATGGCTAATGAACAAAACCAGGCAAAAATGTTATGCAAAATCGTACCACTTTCACCATCAGATATATCAGCAAGCCTCACCAGGGTATCAGCTAGTGCTTGTTCATGCTCCTATTTTACCAAAGGAAACAATCACAGACCCCAAGGAGTAAACAGAGTTGATTTTCAGGACTAGTTACTAAATATTACAGTAAAGAACATAGAATTATATACATAATCAGGAAAATAATATGTTCAAAATTCTAAAAACAAAATAAAAATTCTATTTTATTTCCGTTTTGAGGTTTTCTAACCTTAAGCAGTGTCTTTGCCTTCTCTATATCCACTGGGTCAGGATTACTAGTCCCCAAAACCCTCTCCACCTGCCAAGGTCCACTGTTAGTTTGCGTCCACAAGAAGACCTTCATCTGAGTAGATACGTGTCAAACCATTGCTGCTTACCTCCCTGATTAGAATGTCGGTGTTAAGCAATTGAAGAATGTCATCGGATCCCTTCTTACCAATGCCATTATGGGATGGTGGAAACTCCTTCCTAGACAGGCCTCTGTTGAATCCCCTGCCTCTTCCTGAACCTGTAGTGCCGTCACGTCCCAGAGGTCGATTCATACCATGGCCTGTTCCCCCATACCCTCTGTGCCGGCAAATTCCTGGGTCTTCTCCTACCCATTGGATATCCTCAGGAGAAATCTGCAGCATGCGTAAGAAAATGCATCAGATGAAGATACAATCTCTTTCTTCCCATTACTCATTATACTTCGTAACAAGCAACCAATTCTCCAACACCGCGAAGCAAGGTGTAATCTCAAACATAAAGGTGAAGCTTAAGGTATAAACTTAAGATTAACTTTCTTCTGGTTTGAATTATGTACACATCTTCAACAGAATTTGTGAACATGTTTTCCTCGTATAAATTTTAAGTGGCCCATGCCTTTTCACTCAAAGTATTGTGATAAAACTAAGAACTACAGTAATGTGATCTAATTTAGGGTTTACTACTAAATACAACCATTAACCACATCAGATTAACCTACGAATATTCCAGATCAACTTTTCTGTCATTGCCGGTATAATGTCCTTACATTCAGGACATACATAAATTTTACTCCCTCCATAACAAATCCATTGTCAAGTTTGACTTGGCATCCACGCCAATTTAAGAGGGATTTGAAATTTGTGTATATTATAGTGTTAAGATTGTCCTATGGTTATGACATCAAATGATACATGGGACTATATTTATATATTATGTGGAGAAAATAAAGGGAATATTTTGACAATGGCAGCCCGACAACAAAAGGTTTGGAAAGCACACAAAAAATGCACATCTCAATCAGTAATGCAGGCATCCTATTTAAGATGAATGGAGTAACTGAAACCTAGCACTCAGCTCAGTTCTAACTTTAATTTCCTTCTCTGTACAGAAAATTCTTTCTCCTTGCTTTCCTTAACACATTTAACTTTCACTCACCAAAAAGTATATTCACAATGGAGAACTTAATTTCTAAATTATGCTGAGTCTGCTGGGAACCATTTTAAAATTTTTCGAATAATGCTTAAAAGATTTATTTTACTTTTAATCATGAATATGCATCTAGGAATTACAGAATGAGAACAATGGTCAAATGGCTACTTAAGCCATTCAATTATCAGTTAGATGCAAGGCTGAGAAAATGGTGGTGATTACAGTTATTTTCCCTTGATGATAAATACACCTAAAACAAATAGAAAATCTCTTTCATTTTCAAGATAAAATCTTCTGCACTTACAAATTGCCTCCAGTAATGCCTCAACTAGAGGCTCGGATCAAGAGTGTGAAAGGTGGAATCATCTATTCCATCTATCATTTCAAGCACAGTACATAAGACATAATGAATCCACCACCACGTCACCAAGTTGAAATTGTCATGGAGGAATATGGAAGATGTGGATCTATCCATTTTAATGATCTTATAAATTAGTATATCATAACTTAATTGAACATCTAGGCCAAAAAGTGGGCTTCCAAACTATAAAATCATATTCAAGACTAGCTAGGTTATAACTTAAGTTACTGTTGAAGGAGGTTTAATTGATCCAATCACAAGCAGAGCTTGACTAGCCTTGCTTTTTCTTAAAAAACATTTATAATAAAGCTTATCAAGCCAAATTGAAGATGATTTAAGAAATTAAAAAGTTCTAACCTTTACTTGATTATCTTAAGAACTAATCCAAATGAACTTTTGAAGGGTCAATTATCAAATCAGATTATAAATAGTTCAGCAGTTCATTTCACTACCATCGTTCATTCATTAAAATGGCCAGTAAATTTGTCCTAAGGCAGAACCACATAATGTAGTATGGATTCAATTGACCCACTGAGTCGGCTCAATATAAGTACAGAAAGGGGACGGGGATATCGATAAATGCACGGTATAGACATTTTGAGTGACTTTTCTTAATGATCTCACTGAAATAGGAGGAAAACCTAACATATTGGGTTGACAATAACAATAATCAGGGCTCTATATTAACTGATTATGGAAATCAGGATATAATCGCAACAAACATCAAATAATAACACTAGTAGTAAAACACATATCTTCATTCTTAGATTCATTCAGATTATTGCTGAATTCAAATCAGACTATATTCATGGATTATCATAGCCTGGTAATAGGACTTAATAGTGATCTTAGGCTTACCCGTTAACTTTCAGCCTACAAGACTTTTGAATTTTTCACTCAATATATACTGTAAAAAGTATAGTAGAAGTTCTTTTACCATTAACTGTTGGGCAACTTATACCTTTAAATGGTCATGTTCATGAGGCATGAGCAATTCTCTAATCCCAAAGAAGAAAGTCTTACTCAGCCACTCTGCCATCTCTTCTTTAGGAAGTTCATCAAATAATATACTTCAAAAAAACGCATTTCTGGTAACAGTCTACTTATTAAAAAAAATAACAATAACAAGGTAGAGACAGATGGATTGCACTGTCTTTTGAATGCTTAAATGCAAGAAAGAAAGAAAGAAAAAAATTCCACTGTCATGACATCCTTTTCCACCGCTCCATTCGGTTCCTTGCTTGATCTACTGCTAGGTCCTTAAAAACTGTTACAAGTCATGTTATGTTTGGTCTAGCCCTCCTTTCTCTACTGGTATGTTCAACCAAGATCGCATACTCTTCTTTAGGTCTACGCCAAACACATACAACCACCTAAGTCATGGGAACGTGTTTTGCATAGATCTAAATGTCTCATCCATCACTTGGATGCACAATTTGGTTCTCTTATATGTTGTCCTCAAAAGTGAGAAAATATGAATTTGTCCATTCGTCACAAATCCAAAAATTTTACAAAATGTTTCTCAAGATGTAAACAGAATATATACATACATCAGCAAGGTTGACCCATTCCCATGTTTCATTTGTGGTACCTATATCATAAACAAGAGCATGCAGACCCTGAAAGAGATTAAAAAACAATTTTAGCACTGAACCAGTAGAAAGTAAATATAAAAGCGAGAAATCAGCTAAACCTCATCTGGCTTGTAGTTAGTGATAACAGCTTCATAGAAGTTATTGTCATCAGGCCATCTGGTCCTCACTTTCCTTCCAACTAATGTATCATATGAAGCTGCTTCAGCAGGCTCATATGTAAGACCACCAGAAGAAATATGATTGCCAAATTGACCTCTTCCAGTTGGACCCAACACAGGATATTGCATTTTTATCAAAGATCCACCGGGGGGCATCTGACCCTATAACGCAAATTATAATTGAAAATTAAAGCCAAACGGCAGGGGTAAACTTAACACTAAAAAATTATTGACTTACAGATTTATGTTTTCTGCCCTTGGCTCCCATATTCAGTCCACGCTTTGCAGACGATGAAGATGGCAGGTTTGCAGAAGCCATTGACTGTGAGTGGAAAGTAGGAGATGGCCCACCAAAGGATTGCGAAGGTAATGAAGGGGCCATATTCTGCTTTTTACGAGACACTGAGACTGAAGGACTGGGCACTGGATCATGGATAGCATGGCTAGTACCATGCATGCCTGATTGAAGCCCACCCGACTGCCTCCATTCCCTGATAGCATATCTCAAAAATTTATGGAACAAATGAAAGAATCTAGAACGTGTTGAAAATAAGGCAAAAATTCTAAGGGAAAGAAGCTTGTTTATAAGGACAAAACCTTATTCTTTGTATTACGTCATCGGCATTAACCCTGCCAAGGAGCTCCCTGTGTTCTTCATTTGACAGTCTTAACTCTTTCCTAAGTTCAGTTATTAAACTTTCTTTCTCCTGAAGAAAATAGATTTCATTGACCAGTCATTTAAACCTGATCAAACAAATATGCCAATATTAGATTCACATGTTCAATATGACGAGGTACCCAAGTAATCGCATCAGCTTGTGCTTTAAAGGCTCTTAGAACTGAACTGTATGCCTCTTGCTCAAGCTGGTGAATTTGGGCTTCCATATCAGTTTCACCAGACATCTTAGGATGCGGAACAGAATTCCTACCAGCAGGTCTTCCATTCCCCGCAATGTGGCCACCTCTTTGAATTCTGTTTTGGTGTGTTGGAGGGAGATCGTCATCTGTTCCTGCAATAATAACAGTATAAAAATCAAACCCGTTGATTAAAATCACAGGTGCGCTTTTTCCCACAATACTCCAATATCCCAATTCATGCATCAATAGACATCTCTCCTTGGTGAAAAATGCTGAAACCTTTGCGCTCATAGTATACCTAAATTCTAGAAATATTGGTCTAAAATGGTCATCATCAAACTTGACATTAATATCGTGTTCTAACTTTTCAGACTCTCAGGCTAGTATGTTCTGTATGCCCAAAAAATTACTAGGATTGTGCATGCAACGAGAAGTTGTACCCAACCACCACTCCCAAAAAAGAAAGGAAAAAAAGGGCAAATAATTGTATCATGTTCGCAAGTAACTTGCATTTTTTACAATTTTCATATGACGTAATTTTATGCCAAAATTTTCAACTTACAATCTTGAATCAAATCCGTCTATACAAGAATAAGTTCTCTAAAAGTATGAATCTGGCATAACATTCCCACTTCTTAATCATGTGAAACCTTCTGAAAAAGTGAACTAGGTAGTAATTTTTTTCCAACCAACACATGCACCCATTTCACACCTTACTCCAAAGTAAAGGAGAATAAACCTAACCATAATAATAAAGGGTGGGCTAGCAAGAATGGAGCAGATCCAGCAGGGGCGCCATATGGTGCGCTCTTCCCCAGAGAATGAGGCTGGTTTAGCCAACGTAATACATCTGAGCATATTATGGGGGACCATCAAGCACATCAGGCAAGGATCAAGGGGGATCTCGTTGTCAGCAAGGCTAAGAATACCAAAGTCATTCAGGGCAATGGTTCTTATTGAACAATAAATAAGTCAGTGATTCCCTCTAGGAAAATCAATGGTTTATCCTAAAAAGAGTAGAAGACTAATTAGAGATTTGCTAAGCCAATGGCCATCTCTCTAGGTCACATAACCCTTTAGATCATTCTATTCGTGCTTGAAAAACGAACCCATCGGGTAACATGACCAAACATCCGCAGAACGCCCCAATATGAGAAAGCCATTTCGGGTGTGGTAGATCCCCCCATATGCATCTCCTACCTTTCTTGGTGCTCCTCCCCAAGTCTAGCATGGCTGCCCAATCCATCCACCCCCACCCTAGGTGTACCATCGGTGGACTTTCCGAAAGCCTAAAAATTGTTGAGGATGCACGGTTCTAAAACCACTCTTTTGTAATACATCTTAAGCACAAATAAGAAAGATATTATGCAACATAATTGAAAGAAACTGCCTTCAAGTCCTCCGTACTATTTATGTAGGTGAATAACACTAAAATAAAGGATATTAGGGTCCGTTTGATTGCAAAGGTGGAATTTGGCTGGAAAGAAAACGAATTTTAGGGAATTGAATTGATGGAAAATTGTTTTCCTGGGAATTGTAAATTATTGTGTTTGATTGGTATAACTTTTCACGTGGAAAATGTTTAAATTAAAGTGTTTTTTGATATCCGTTTGATTTTGTTTTACATGAAAATTGTCAATTAAAGGAATATAATTTACTGGTATTGGGAATGAAATTTGTTTTCATTGTAAAAAAAAATAAGAAAAAAAATCAAGAAAATCATATATCTTTGGACATTCGTTTGACTTTGTTTTACATGGAAATTGCCAATTAAAGGAAAATATTTTTTTACAATAATTTCCAAAAAAAAAAAAAAAAATTACGCTACAGTACCAAGAACAAGAAAAGTGATGCGTGAGTGGAGGAGCAAGAAAACATTTTCCCAAGAAAATAAATGCTATCAAACAATGCAAAAGTGGAAGTCGGAAAATCAATTCCTAGTTCCATGGAAAAAAATGGTTAATCAAACAGGGCCTTTTTGTTTCTTCCAAACTACTATTACTACAGATATTTTAGTTACCAGGACTTAGAAAAAGGTGATAATCCAAATATTCTAGTAACAGCATTTCACCATCTCCCATCATACCATGTCAGTTTTGTGTAGCATTGTTAACTCCACACAAAACACCCAACAAAATCAAACTAAATAACTATAACTTCCACAAAAATAACCAATCCATAAAAATCACCCGAAAGTTGCATAGCAGTTCAGACATAAAATTCTAGGCCTCCGAGCTCTCTCTTGAAAAACAAAAAACCACTCACGACGTCAAAGATAAACACTTCCGAAATTCAACTGCACCAACCTATAAAGGCAAGTCAGAAAATCTCGGTAAATACATTCTCAAAGAACGGTACAAAAAGTTCAAAAACTAAGAATCCAAGCCCATGATTTTACATTCACTACTACCCCTAGTCACCACAGTCCAAGAAATACGACAATGCACGCTATCACATTACGGAATCTAGCCTTAATTATCACAAAAATCACTGCAGTGCCTAAATTTTAGAAGTAGAAATCAAATCTTTTTAGTGGGGGGGAAAAAGGACACTCACCACTGCTATCGTAAGGCTCGTAGTCCATTGCCAGCTTTCTGAGTCCCACAATTCACAAGTTTAAACCTGAATTTATTCCAGCCAAAAATTCTTCTAAAAGAGAGCTTAAATCACTATTAAAAAGAAAAACAAAAGCACCCAAGAAATAAAAAGAAAAGCCTTACATTAATTTTTAGGGGTTTGGAGAGATTCGGTTCGATTTGGGTGATTGCGAGAATTTGAGTGTGCGTACAGGTACGCGGACGTGAAATAGGTAAATGAGTTACGTTCGGAGAGAGGGGCTTGGGATCCGCATCAGTTTGGGAATTATTTAGTAAAGAAATTAAAAAATAAAATAAAATTTATAGGAGAATGACATTTGTTTGGTAG